CGCCCGCGCGGCGCGAGTCGCGTATATGGGGCGTGCCCGTGATCCAGGCAGCTGTCCCGTCGGCGCTTCCACCTGGCTGCTCAGATTGATGGCGCGCGAGGACGCGAGGGGCCATCTTCAGTGCGACTGCCCCTGCTGCCTCCGTGGCCTCCCCAACGGAAGGAGATGCGAGCCAAGGGGCGCAGGCGGCAGGGTCGCTTGCCTTCAGGTGCCAGAAGTTTGTCGAGGACACCTTCGACGGCATTGTTAATGACTTATCAGGATCGGGTACAGTGGCAGAAGTGGCCAAGCTGGCACATGACGTGCATGTTGAGCAGGCCAGTGTGCTGTGGGCAGAGGAGCACCTAGCCGAAACATCCACGGCCGGGGGTGTGGTTGTTTTCCGAACTGCGACCCCCATCTCGGTCTTCCAGGCCGCCGCCTTAGAGCGAGCCATCGCCGCGGCCTCCACCTGGGGCCTGGGCGTGGACCTCTGCAAGCTGTGCGGGGTTCGCAGATCGCCATGCGGCGATGTGTCTCGATTGGCGAGAACGTTGGCCCGGTGACTGGATGCGGCCGAGACGGCCCAGGTAACTCAGGTCCAACAGCGTCTTGGTAGTGTTTGTGGCACCGTCCTGCCGCAGTGCTGGGCCTTCATGTAGTTTCAACTACCGTATCATTCGCGAGGCTTAGAGGATGCATGGCGAGGGAAATTCTCCCCGCGTCATCTTCTGCGGCCAAGTGGCGGTTGCCCAGGTTCCAGATGACTGACGCTTGTTCGTTGAACAGCTGAGCTCTACTTGTTTCAGTTCCGTGCCACCTTGGAACCACGTGTCACAGCCCCCCCAGGTGGGCGCTGTTGCGTTCGATCAGTATCGCCTGGGGGCCAAGGGTCCATGCGGTCTCCCAGCTAAGAAGCCCTCTTTGGTTATCGCCAACTCACCGCACCTGCTTGCGCCCGCCAGGAATCTGAGGAGTGGCGGGAAGCGCGGCCACAGCGCCCCTGGGCCGCAGTCAACGCGCCAAGACGCGGCAAGTCTTGCCCGGTCGCCTGGCTGAGCGCGCGATGCAAGGCAGAATCGCTTTCAATGCTGCGGTGGATTGCCCAGTTGCCCTTTTGGCCGAGCTCTATCCAGCCGCGGGTCGCGCGTCAGCTCAGATGCGCTCCGGAGGCCGTCGCCGCAGCCAGCGCCACCAGCCACGCCGGCACCGGCAGACAAGTCGAGGCCGAAAGCATAGGGTGCCCCCTTTCGAGCGTCGGGAATTCAGATTTTTACCGCGCCAGCTGCCAAGCAAGCAACTAGCACTCCTTGCGTGAAGCGGTGCCCAGAGTGTCGAGGGTGTCGCGGCAACCGCGGCAGTCTGGACTCGCGACACATCGAGGTCCCAGGAAAAATGTGCAGTCCCGCCAGGCGTGGAGTCACCGCGCTACTGCCCTGGCTGCGCGCGTGGCCCGCCGCGTGGTCTAGCGCGCCGTGGCCGCTCCGGGCGTCCAGCAGAATGCCGCTGGTTCGGTCGGCAAGTCGGGGCAGCGTGAGCGCCGCGCCGGCCAGTGCGGGGCATTCCTCCGCGACGGCTGCGTGCAGTTGGCCAGAGATTCCGCGGCAGGTGCCCCGGATTTCAGGTGAGTCCCGAGACCGACGGACCCCCGCCAGATCGGGGTCCCATCGATGACCCAGCACCACCAGCACCACCACATGACGATCTTTTCGATGGGGACGAACCACCGCCACCGCCAGATCCAGCAGCTCCAGGGCCGACGGCGCCTCGACCACGACCGCGAGTTATGGGCGCTACGACTGGACTTGCGCCAGAGGACTGGACGAGCTTCTAGCTTCCACGTCGCGCAGAGCTTGCAAACGCTGCGAGCAGGTGACGCGTCGCAAATGCAACGAGAAATTCGAGCGCTACATATTCGCTGGCGGCGCGCTGCACGGACGCAGATGGAAAAGGTGCGATCGCGTCCCGACGCCCGCGGTCCGTCGCCCAAGTAATTGCAGGCGTTGCCGACGCATGCCGTGAGTGACAGGCTTCGGTCCCCCAGCGAGTCACAAATCGCGCCGTCGGTTCAGCGGGTCATGGCCTCGATCAGGACGTGCGCGGGTGCATTCTTCTTCTGCCAGTGCCCCATCTGGCGCTGCAGCGCGGCTGCCCGCGGGAGATCTGGCGATGCCGGGCGTCGATCCTCCGATTTATATATATATATATATATACATATATATAAAAACAATGTAATGTTCGAATTTATCAAGACCTGAGTCGTGGACGGCGAAAGTCTTGGAGCTGGAGCGAAGCTGTTCTTCGATCGGCATGGCGTCGCGGTCTTAGTGCGAGCTCTAGACCCGCGCGCTGGAATTGTTGAGCGACGTGGCGCGGTGTTTCGACGCGCCGCGCGTTGCGCTGGAGAGCAGGTTCGGGGCGGCTTACGAGTCGCCATGCCTGACCTCTTATCGGGGGCCGTCCTCGCCGACAGCTTGCGGATCTCGTGCGGAGGCGCCGCTCCATGTAACGCCCGGATTGGCCGACTGCCATGGATGTTGCCGGATGTGCTGGCGCCCCCTGACGGCGCGGCCGGCGCCGCGCGCAACTCTCGCCGACGCCGCGCCGCCCATTTGCTGGCCATTCTTCCTTTGCGCTTCGCTGTCTAACGCCGCTCTTGTGTTTTAGTGGCCGCAATTCGCCTTGGGCTGTCGCGTTGCAGCTTTCGGGTTGAGTGTTTTCCTTGTCTTCTGGCCGCTGCGTGTGTCGTGTGGGCTTGCAGCTCCTCTAACGCATCTATTGCTTGGCTTCTGCAGTGCGCTGCGCCCACGACAACGCTCGATCGCAATTCGCATTTCCATCTGCTGACCGCGCCTGCGGGCCCTCTGCGCCTCTGACTTGAAAGTGCGCGCGTGTGCGCGCGTGGGCGATGTCCGCGGCCGTTTGCCCGTGCATCAGCGAGGGCCGCGCGCGGCGCCGGATGCCCGCGCGCTGGCCCGCGCCAGCCTGCCCCCGCGCGGAGCCCTTCAGGAACCGGCGCCAGCCCAATGCGGCGCGCGAGTCGAGCGCCGGAAGCGATCTCTGGTGCTCCTCATCCTGGAACAGCTACGACGCCCAGGTCGCAGGCCCGGGTCGCCCAACGCGCCCGCCAGGCGCGCCGCCCGTGGTGCGATGCCGCGATGCCATGGGCCGCGACTTCCAAGCGACGCGCGAAGTCGCGCTCGCCGTCGCGAGCTCCCGACCTCGCGGACGGTTTGCGCCGCCGTGGCCGCCGGAGCTCGCCCCCTGCACCTCGCGGGCGCTCCAGCCAGCGGAGTCGCCGCAGCCCTGCGGTGGCGGCGCCGTTTCGCCCTTCGGCGTCGCTTCGCCCGGTGCGCTCGATGCTCGAGGTGTCGGTCGAGCCGCGCCCGCCCTCGTCCGTGCCGACGGCTGCGCCGCCGCCGCCGGAGGGCCGCTGGGGGGGCGACAGCTGCGCCGAGGCGGACCGCCAGCGCGCCGAGAACAGGGCCATCGAGGCAGCCGTGCGCCCGCTGTCGATCTCAGAGCTGGCCGACGGTCGGCGCCGTGGAGGTGGGCCGATTCACTTGGTTTCTGCACGAGTTTATTCCGTGTCAGAGTCCAATGCCCGCCTGGTCTCGCACGGCCACGGCCTGGTGGGCCGCCGGTTGAGGGCGGCATTCTCGCGCGAGATGCGCCTCGCATGCGGCTGCGACATCGGCCTGGGCTTTTGCCCCGCGGTCGACGGCGAGGTCCTGCCCCCCGAGATCGTGCTCGCCGCGCAGCGGCTTTCTGCCCATCGGTCCTACGCGCTCACGTGCGAGCGCCGTCGCCGCGCCGCCGCCACTGGGCCCTGGTTGCCGGAGGCCCGTGGCCCAGCTTTGGCCCGTGCCCCGTGGCGGCGGAGGACGGGCCGCCTCATGAAGGCAACAGGCGGCGCTCGCGGACGAACTCGCAGAGCAATCCGCCTGAACCGCCTGGCCCGCCAACAGGGTTCAGCGACAGGGGCTCGACGACCGTCGGCATCGGCCATCGCAGCTCTGCGAGGACGCGCCCGAGACGGAGCCGCCGCTGAGCTTCAGGTCCCAGGAGTTCGCGTACCGCCGTGGGACCGGCAGCCGCGCCCCGATCTTGAGAATCAGGCACGCCAGGTGCGTGAGCGGGACCCAGCAGTCCAAGGACGGTACGGACAAGGAGGGCAACGATGACAATGGCAAGGACAAGGACAAGGACGCGCCCGAGGCCACCTCGCCCCCGCAGGATTCCTCCCCAATTTGCAGAGGGAGGTCAGAAGAGCGACGCAACGGACAGGGACTACGCCCTGGCGGGTGAGGCGCAGGCGGCGCAGTGCGGACCAGCTGCACGCCCTTGCGGAGTCTCCATCCTGCACCGCTCTCATCTACCAGTTTACGACAGCTCCCTCCTCATTCTCGCCTCCACCGACCTCTGTGCCACCCCGTCGCCGAGCCTGGGTTCCAGGCTGCAGGCTTTCGGACGCGTCGTCCGCGGCGCGAGGTCTCCACAGACCTCGGTGCATAGCAGTTTGCCTTTCGCATGCGCGAGCTGCTCTGTGCCGTTCCTAAGAGCACGAGCGCGCTCACTGAATACAGTCGGTGAGCACGCGCTCCGCGGGCTCGGCGCGCCTCCCAGGTGGCGGCCGGATACTCGTGAGGGTTGGGAGGGTGCGCGGAGGTTTGACAGTGCTGGCGTTCCAATTTCTCGATTCTGTTGCGCCGCCAGAGCTGTTCGATCACCCGCGCATCCCCGACTCGAATGAGATGCCCCGTTGCCGTCAGGGCTGAAGCACCGGCGCGGCAGCTTTCTCTGCTGAGTGACAAATGCCGCCCTACATTGGCATTGCCGCCATGTTTTCTCTCGCAGTGCCACCAACCCCCACAATTCCAGTGCCTCTGCCTCCTCGTCCTCCTCCTTCCCTCTCCTCCTCCTCCTCCTCCTCCTCCTCCTCCTGCTTCTCCTCCTCCTGCTCGTCGTCGTCGTCCTCCTCCTCTTCCTGCCCCCTTCCCCCCCGCCCTGGGCGCGCCCAGGAGCCCAGGGGCAAGAGGCAGAGGCAGCCCGGCCAGGGGGCCGCCTGCGTGCCCAGCGGCGGCGGTCCGCCGCGGGCCATGAGCGGGCCGAGGATCTACGGCGAGGGCGCCCGCGACCAGGCCACGCGGTCGTGGTCGTGGTCGTGGTCAGGGGGCCACATGCGAACCCTACCCGTACCCCCTACGATTTCTGAGGGGGAGGGTGGGGTTCACTTCGCTCGGGAGCTCCCGAACGGAGTGAACCCCACCCTCCCCCTCAGAAATCGTGGGGGGCAGGGGTAGGGTTCGCATGCGCCCCCCTAGTTGTCGTGGTCGTGGTCGTGGTCGTGGTGCGTTGCGTCTTCGGGGGACCTCGCCCGTCCCCGCAACTTGTGCTCGGCCTCGTGCTCGACGCGGGCCCGAGGCGGACTCGACGCGGATCTGGCGTGGACCCGACGCAGATTCGACACGGATACGACACGCATCCCACGAGTCCGACATGGATTCGACACGGAGTCGGCGCGGATAATGAGGGCCGCGACGGGACAGACAAGGTCCGCCGAGGATGCAACATAAGTGGTCGTGGTCGTGGTCGTGGCCGTGGTGGTGGTGGTGGTGGTCGTCGTCGTCGTCGTGGTCCCCGTGTTTGTCCTCGCGGTGGTCCTCGTCTCCGTCGTTGTCGACGTCGTCCTCGTCGTCGCCGCGTGCAAGGTTTCTGATCGTCCTGGGGCGCCCCTGCGGCCACGGCTGGATCCGCCTTGGAATGACCCGAGGAGGTGTCCAAGATTTGTAGGGGATTGACTGCAGAATTGACTTACCCCGAAATCAGTTTTCCTGCCGAATTCACGAACAAATCCTGGATTCGGTAGGAAGGCTCAACTTTGGGGTAAATCAATTCTGCAGTCGACCCCCTATTCGAATTTCTGGCCCCCGATCAGGGCTGGCGGCGCCCACGACAGGGTGGCGCGGGTGGGGCGGCTCTCCAAGAGGGCGGAAGGGGCCTCTCAAAAGGCATATTGGGACTTTCTTCGTTGGCTCTGAGGGAGGGAGGGAGGGAGGGAGGGAGGGAGGGAGGAAGGGAGGGAGAGAGGGAGGGAGGGAGGAGGGAGGGAGGAGGGAGGGAGGGAGGAGGAGGAGGAGGAGGAGGAGGAGGAGGAGAGGAGGGGAGGAGGAGGAGGAGGAGGAGGAGGAGGAGAAGGAGGACTAAATGACTAAATGACTACAAGAGTACCTTGTCACATGACTGCTAGACAGCACGGGCGCGCGCGCGCGCCCGCCTGGAACTGGACGAACAGCGAGTGGCCGCTGCTCTATCGGGAGGGGGCTGTGCCTCGGGCAGCCTCCTCCTTTGCCTTGATTCGGGCGTGCAATGCTGCCATACGAACCTCGTAGGACAGGACAGAATCGGGATTCGATCGAGTGACGCTTGTGGAACTCGAAGAGGGCTGGGCACTGTCGAGGGCGACTCTCTGAAGGGGCGCGACGGAATCGATTCGTCTGGCCAGCCTCTTGTGCGGACCGACGCCCCTCCTGAGATTTCGCAGCACTTCATCACCCTTAGACGTAGGCTTCACGCAAGGGGAGCGAAGCTTGTCTTTACGACGCTGCTGAGCCCAGGCCCCACACACATAACAGACAAAAACTGGAGCTGTGCAGGCAGGCCCCGCGCAGCTCCAGCTGGACACGCTCCCCTGGGAAACAGCAACCAACTGGTGGCCCAGGGGATTTTGCCTGAAGTCTCTCAAACACTTGGGCAACCCTCTGCAGCCCAGCATGGGCCTGTCACGTCCAGGCCCCAAAACGCTGAGACAATTCCTACACTGTGTGCCGATAGAGGTTCTGCACCAGTCATGCCAGTTGTCTTTCATAGTGTGCCTCGACCGCTCAAAAACAGGGAGCCTGGAAAACCTCTCCTCAAGCTCAAAACACGGGAGAACGTGGGCACACAACTTCACAAAGTGATTGGCATGGGTGCAAGCTTCCTCTACTCTCACAAGGAACTCAGGAGACGCAGATGGGTGCAAGAGCGCAGCTTTTTTGGCGAACACATCGGCGACCACGTTGGCGTCCGTGATACGCCTATCCTCGTCCGAGAGCGCCTGGTACTGCTCGCCAGACTTGTGGGCCTTGACGTGGCGGACGCTCTGGATGTTGTCGTAGCCGCGCATCTGGTGGCCAAAGAACTGCACGCACGAGTACATTGACCTGGCCTGCAACTGTTCCTGCTTCGACTTCAGTGCCGCCTTCACCACTGCCATGAAATCTGCATATACCGTGGACGGTCGGTCGGCGATCTGCCCAACGAACGCCATGCTCAGAAACTCCGCCATCGCTGACGACTGGGGCATGGCTCTCGGGACCGCGCCGTACATGACTGCAACTGGTGTGTCAGCCGTAGGGTTCATCAGCACCACAGCCCACCCAGCTCTCTGAAGAGTGACCAGAGAAGGCTTGCTGCAGGATCCATCAACTGCGAATTCCAACCTGTCACCTTGTACAAGTTGCTCAGCTAATTGTTCAGGTTCAGCATCAATATCTTCACCTTCAGGAGTGACTAAATGCGCCTCAACACCTGGGTCGAGCTCTGGGATGTCGCTGTCCGCGTAGATGAAGCAGCCTTGGGTGAAGCATCTCTCATCTGGATGATCAACACCTGCTTGGATAAACGATGCTGGCACCTCGAATTCGGCTCTGGCTGCAATCACCCCAGGCAAGGAGCAAACAAACAGCCTGTGGTGAACCGTATCTGCTGCTCCACACTTGCAGCGACCATCAGTTTGGTAACCTCTGAGACGTGCTCGCTCCTTGGTCCAATGACCTTCCACCGCCGACGTTCGAACAGGAACTTTCTGATGCTTATTTAGGCGACGGCTCTTGGGGCGAACTGCTGCACGAATCAAATCAAACGAAACGCGAGATCCTGGAGGCGCTCCCCATTTGTCGGCCAAGGTCATCTCAAGTTGACGCTGCATGGCCTTGCCCATGAGATCCTCGAGAATGCCTGGCGTGAGTTGCTCCAGGGGTATGTCAGCTCCTCGGTGATCTTTCCAAACTGTACTTGGCTGAATTGACCAACCAACTCTTCGTACACACAGAGCTGCGCGAACCAGGGGACCTCTCGTTTGCTTCCATTTTAGTGCTGCAGCATCAAGGTGGAGTAAGGCCTTGACCCACCATGACTTGAGTACCTGCAAGGAAACAACTGCTGTGTCTGGCTGCGATACTGCCATCCAAACCATTCGACTCCATTGCAACGCTGGTGCCACAGCCTGGCGCAATGCGGGGTCGCCGTCTAGGTAATACCAGCTTTGCTGTGATCGAAACGCCTCCGTGGAAGGGTTTGACCTGCCTGCAGTAATCACGACGCAGCTGCAATAACTCAGCGTTGTCAAGTCCCAATATCTCCACTCCGTCAGTTAGCGCTGGCCTGGCGCCAGCGCGAAAAACTTTGCCAACCCTTTGCTCTTTAAGCTCAGGCAAGGCCCTCTTGTACCGTCTTAGCTTGAGAAGACGTAGACGGTGCTTGGCCTTGCGCTTGGACATCTTCGCTCGGGTTCTCGGTGCCACATGAACTCTGCCTGCTGCCTGATCCGTGCCAAGATAGGTGGTCGATGTGACAGCCTTGCCGGCAGACAAACCGAGCTTGATCGCAACTTCCTCGGCCAGTTCTCTCGCGTTGGCGAGGACTGCGAACTTCTCATTGATAGTGGCTCCAAGTGCAGCGGCCGTCTCCAAAAAACCTTTGCCAGCTTCGACCGCGAGGGAGATGACTGAGGATCTGTCTGCACTTTCGACTCCCATGCTCGAGTCGTCTATATAGCTGGCGAAGTCGACTAAGGGATGGAGTGCCACATAATAATCGTACTGCTCGACGGCGTGCACTTCGATGGCTATGTCAGCCACCCCGCAGCCAGCAGGAATACCACACTCTGCATGTCCAGGTTGATTGCCGTGATGCTGCAGCAGTCGGATCAGTCTTGGCGCGCGCCAGGTGTTGTAGGTGAGCTTGACTGATGCCGTGGCCGCTCCGGAGCGAATGAACTCCTGCCGCAGCTGCTTCAACTCGATGTTCTCGTAATACTTCGAATAATCTGCTATGAGCGTGACAGAAAACCGATCTGAGGCTGTGCTGGCTTCTGTGCGAGCTGCTAACTTCCATGCGCTGTCGATTGGACTACGACCTTTGCCAGCGCCCCAGTATTTCCTGTCCAACACCTTCATCAACTCATCATATTCGCATCTTCTCATCCTTTGCCAAACGCGGTAAGCCGACGCGTACAATATTATGAGACGGTGGCCTCCCTGAGGCTTTGGCAACATAGGCATGATAATCCATGCCAATTGCTTGGGAAGCATCCCAAGTGATTCCATGGCTTCGTACAGAACTGCTAGCAGTCTCAATGCATCGTCACTGAGATGCAACAGGTGTCGAGGATGAAGTCCGTCGAGGCCCGCTGACGTGGTGCTTGGAAAAGTGCGAGCGGCTCTGCGGATATCCTCAGGTTCCGCTCGCCGATGAGAGCTTCTGTCGGGAATCCAAGCTCTAGGGGCCTCCGTGGAGCTTCGCCATATCGATTTGTATTCAGCTTCCATGGCAGCAACAACATCATGAGGATGAGCTGAATACTTCCCAGCGCTAGTAACAACTGTGGTGGGAGCCTGTACTTGTCGAACTTGTGTCAGTCTGTGAAGGCCTCGAAGTCCCCCAGCGCTGGCTTGACGGCACCAATCTTTCCATCTCGCTTTACTGTCTCTGTCGGCTTCCTGAAAAGCTTGGTCAACATCATCCTGCCATTCGTCTTGCAACTCGCGTATGGCGTCTGCATGAAAGTGACCGCTGACAACTCGACGTGCTTGCTCGACACTGGCGTCCAACCTGCGGTTTAGGCCTTGCCCAGGGTAAGCGGATGACTGCAGAAGGAGAATCTCGTCCTGCAACTTGTTAATATCCTCGGGCTGGCGGCTTTCACGCAGTTGAGCAATTGTTGTCATCGTATCAGAAAGCCATTTCCATCCGTCTGCACGCGCTTGGATACCAGGAACGTCCTTCAGCTCATAGTGGATGTCCACCCATCTTGGCTGTAGGAATTTAGAGTATGCGCCGTAATCTTTGACCTCTGTGCCAGTAATATGAGCAATGC